TACTGTTACGCAAGTAGTGAGCTCTACCCCTACTTCGTCCATGAGCTCTGTGGGTAAGAGTTAAACGTTTTTCTTTGTCATGTGAGGTCTAGCTTTTATCTCTTATCCTATTGTGTCCGTTGTTTCCTGTATGCATGTTTATTAGTGCTGGAGATGTTTTTCTTCGTTTTTTGTTTTTTTGCATTTTTTTGGGGGGGTTTAAGATTCAACTCTCCTCGTCTTAGCACTAAATTACATTTCCATTCCCTTCATACGTGTTTTTTTTTTTTTTCACACTGAGCCTCACTTATTCTTGAATCTTCTGGACTGAACCAGAATTTGTGACCTCCTGCTTCAGCTTTTTAAGGATGTACTTCTTTTTAAGCTTTGTGCACATACGTTTGGTGCAGTCATTTTGTGTTATCAGTCTCATTTGTGTTCTTTTTTGATTTTGTGTTGTCACTAGTTTCCTATGTTTCATGGACCTGGTTATCTCTTCTGCAGAGGTCTGGTCATTCCTATTATTCTCCCATTTCCTTTTTATCCTTTTCTGTGTTTTACAAGTTCAGTGTTGTAGCCTTCTATAGTCCAGATATTTCCTTTTATGTTCATGCTTTTAGTGATTGTTGCCGTTCCTTTCCTTCCTGTTAAACGTGTGAATGTCAGAACTTGTGGGGATAACTCTGGTCCTTCACACTGAGCTACATCTTAGTTTTGTTTTGTTCTACTTTTTCCTTTGGCACAGGATCTCGCTAAATTGCTTAGTCACTTCTGTTGCATACAACCTTGTGATCTTCCTGCCCAGCTACCCACAGTGCTGTGATTCCAGGTGTCCAGCCCCCTGTTCAGCCTGCTGTTGCAACATTAGTTACTGGTATCTTTGAAGTATCTCTGCCACCATTCACTTTCTTATCCCTTGGTCTTCAGTATCAAAGCAAATAACATTTTCTTCCTTTTTCTCAGTTCTCAATCCTTGTTCCTTATCTCTGAGGGTTTCTCTTTATTTCTCCTACTTTTTCTCTGCCACGTAACTTTTGACTTTTTTTTTTTTTTTTTTTGCAGTGCGAATTGTCCTTAGGGTCTTGCAACCTGCCAGGCAGGCACTGTGCCCCTTAGCTATATCCCCAGGCCCCACTGACTCTTTTTATACTGGTTAGTGTGAACCTGACAGTCCTTGATGTCTGTTGACACTGTTGTGTAGTTGAGTTTGTACCTATGGCTAGAGATTGCCTAATGCTAGAGATTGCCTAAGGCTAGAGAATGGGACTAGGCAGAAGTCACCTGGCTCATGTTTCTGGTGGCTAGAAGGTCTGAATACCATGGTGCTTGCATTAGTACTTTCCTGTCCCTAGCAACAATAACAGCAAAATACCAGACACCTGCAACTTAAAGGAGGAGAAGTTTGTGGTGCGGATGTGTTCAGTCCATGGTTAGCTGGCACCAAGGCGGAAACAGCACGGTGGAAGGCCTGGATGAGGAGAGCTGCTCCCTTCATGGCCGTCAGGAAACAGCAAGACAGAAGTGAGGACAGAGACAAGAATATAGTCTTCCACGTCACACCCCAGTGACCAACCCCAGCCAGGCTCTATCTCCTCACAGCACATTCAGCCATGAACTCATGAATGATTAGTGCTCTGAGGAGTGTAGCGTTCCATGAGCCAACCTCCTGCCCAAGCGCACCTCTGAACACATGCGACTTTTGGGGGACACTGATCTAAACTGCAGCAATGCTGGAATATAGCAAGGGCCCTTGGACTACCTCGCAACATGGTAGATGAGTGGACAGGAAAATTATGCCTATGCGGAAGGGGCAATCCGGGGGGCGGGGGGGAGAGAGAGAGAGAGAGAGAGAGAGAGAGAGAGAGAGAGAGAGAGAGAGAGAGAGAGAGACAGAAATGAGCTGATTCGAGATGTATGGGTCTCCTCTGTACCCACAACCCTTGGTCTATGTTGTCCACGCTTTCCAAATGTCTTGGATGGAAGACCTGGGCACAGCAGCTGTATGATGTGTCATGCTTGTGTTCCCTCCTGCTGAGATTGGTCCAGAAGTGTGACACATCTTTGCAGAGGGTACTCCCACCTCATGTGACTCCCCAGACAAAACACACCCAGCTTTCTGATCTATACAGGAACACAGATTTTCAAGAAAAGCCAAAGAGGGCCAGTGAGATAGCTCAGCAGACTAAGTGCCTGCATAGGCAAGTACAGGGACTGAGGTTCGATCCCCGGCACCACACGCTGCACTGGCCCTGCACCTGACAATGCTGAGCCGGCCACTGAGACCAGACTTGGTGGTGCATGCCTATAATCCCAGCACTGAAAACAGGACGATCACTACAAGTCTGAGCTGAACAGTGACAACCTGTACCAGACACATTAAAAAAGAAGGAAAAGCCAAAGAGAACAGAGCTTTAGATTTTCTGGGCTGAGCAGATGGCTAATCGAGAGTTGTCCACAGCACTTGCTGTCTCTTTAAACTCTACATGCCTCTCATACGAGGAGAGAAAACAGGAAGCCTGGCCAGCCTGCATAGCAGCAGGTCAGGAAGGCTCTTCCGGAGTGGGCGCTGAGGGACAGGGCTCATGTCCACCCGCAGCCTTGGCACAGGCTTCGCGTGTGCATTCCCTGGGGCTCTCCCAGCCTCCGTCTCCTGCTTCCTCTTTCCCAGTCCTGCTGGTGGCATTTACCTGGCACAGCACCACTGTTCTCTCTGCTCACGTTTTTGGGCTGAAGTAACGCCAGCTGGAGTCCAGGACTGGCCAGGCCTCTTAGTCTCTCTCTGCCTCAGTCCTCCTGCCTGGGAAGTGGGGTGACCCTCACTGACCTGTGCAACCAGGGTGTCGCGAATGTCCTTGGGAGCATGTTTCAGGCTGTGACGTGCTGTGCAATCTGTATCTTCCAGTGAGCTGCCTCAATGGAGGGCTGTGGACGGGGGAGGCCTGCAACTGCCCTGAAGGTTTCACTGGAGATCGGTGTGAGTTCCTGCGCAATACATGCAACAATGGAGGCTCCTGGGATGGACTCAAGTGCCACTGTACCAGCCTCTTCTATGGGCCAAAGTGTGATGATGTGGTCGAAGGCATGGAGATGGGTGAGTGAAGTCCCACTGCCCTTCAGGGGACAGGACAGGAGGCGCAGGTCTCTGCCTCCACCCCTAGCTGGGCCATCTGGGGTACAGGTTTCCTTGGTGTTAGGTCAGTGAGTTGTGCTACCTTCTATCCTTCAGCTCCACCGCAGACAGTCTCTGCCATCATGGAAGTGACTGTGACTGTGACCAGCCAGGTGTACAGCAGTAAGCTGGAGAACCGGTCTTCAGAAGAATTCAAGAATTTTAGCGCCATCTTCACAGAGCAGGTACACCTGGGAGAGCAAGTGCCTGAGCCCACTCAGCTCCCTGGGGTGGATCCCGGAGCTGGTGGTGCAGCCTCGGAGGCTGAGGCAGGAGGATCACAAATTTGAGTCCCACCTGGGCAATTTATTGGGAACCTGTCTCCGACATAAATTTAAAAGGAGGGTGGCACCTGGGGATGTACGTAGCTCAGTGAGCAGGTCCTGTGTTCTGTCCCCAGTACCATTCACTTACATACTCACACGCAGAAGGCAGCTAGCTGAGGGCTGTCCTCTTGATAGATGTGTATGAATTTCTCAGCCAAGTCCTCCAGCCTTCCTTGGAAGCTTCCCTGAGGGGTTCTGGTAGGAGTGGCAGCAGGGTGGCACTGGGCTCCTGCAGGGGAAGGATGGGATGGTGCCATTGTCAGGGGGTCTGAGCAGCGGGCCGGCCCAGAGATGCTTGCTGTGCACGGGAGAGACCTGGCAGGCCTGGAGGCGGGACCTCCACGGTGATGCCATGGCCCCTTCTTTTCAGATGAATGTCATTTATGCTGGAATCCCTGAGTATGAAGGGGTCAACATCACTAGGCTGAGGTGAGTGTCTGGGGCTGGCAAGAAGAGGCTTTTGGGGTGCAAGCAATAGCCATAACAATAGAGCCATTTTCACGTTGGTCAGCCTTGGGATTGGGGGAGGCGAGGGCGCTGCCATGACAGAGCTTATGGGATAGAAAGTTACTGCTCATACCTGTAGTCTCAGCCACTTAGGAGGCTGAGACAGGATTTCTGGAGCTCAGGAGTTCGAAGCCAGCCTGGGTAATATAGGCTTCATTTTGGTTGATAGGTAGGTAGGTAGGTAGGTAAGTAGGTAGGTAGGTAGATAGATGATAGATAGATAGATAGATAGATAGATAGGCAGAGTGCAGCAGCTCCACGATCCAATCAATCATTTCCAGAAGTCCCTTATCTGAACACGAGTCTTCTGAGGACCATTCTAGATCTAGACCATAGCTCAAGCCCCGTAGGAGCCCTTGATGGGGACTGCTTATCCTGTGGCCTTTCCCCATCTCACCATTGAGTTCCCTGGGCACAGAGAGGCAGAGGCCATCTGGAGAAGGGGTGGAAAGGGTGAGCCCCAGGGCTGACCAGGGACAAGGCCCAGCTGTGCTGTCCCTCCTGCCCCTGAATCCCCAGGCCTGGCAGCGTGGTGGTGGAGCACGACATCATCCTGAAAGCCAATTATACTCCGGAGTACAAGGAGGTGCTGAAGCAGGCCTCCCAGAAGGTGGAGGAGAAAATTGTGAATGCAACCAAAGAACAGATAAGCAACAGTAGTAACATCTGCCATGGTAAACCAGTGCTTTCTGGGGTTTCTTCTCTTTATCCTGGGGCAAAGGAGAACAGAAAGTCAGGGTGGGTGGCAGGATTCGAGGTCACTCAGTTGGCAGGTACTGCTAGGGGCAGATCCCAGAGAGCTCCAGAAAGGAGGCCGCAAAGCGAGGGAGACAGCAGCATACCCGCAAACAGGCCCACAGATGCGGCATTTCTGTTTTCTACTGGAAATGTTAGCATGCTTGTGAGTCTCCTGACTGTAGTCAGTGGTGTGGGGGTCACAATGGGAGGGCAGGGGAGAGCTGGATGGAGGCTGGCTTCCTGGCCCCTCACCGACCTGCTCCCCTCTGCCCCACATGCCTGGGGCCCCAAGGGTGCTAGATGGCTTGTCACTAGGAGCTACCTGGATCTCTTCCACAGGCTTCTTACTGTGTTTCAACTCAACTGCCACAGTGGTGCAAAATGACACCATTTTCCAGTATGATCCTGAAGGTAGGTGCTGCTCATGGTTCTGGGAAGGGCTGAGGTGGTGGGACCCCCAGGGGAGCCCCCTGAGCTCCTAGCCCCTCACCATGGCTGCAACTCCTCATCCCCACAGCGGAGTGCCGAAAGGCAGCTGGGGCATATGCTGCCTACTTCCTGGTGGAGTACAAGGACCAGAAGCCGTACTGCATCACACCCTGCATGTCTGGCTTCAACGCCTCCCTGGACTGCCACTATGGCAAGTGCCTGATGCGGCCCAGTGGCCCCCGGTGCAAGTGAGTGTCCCACCCCGGCCTAAGTGCAGCCCCCACTCCAGGCTCAGGCAGATGCTGCCTGCAGGCCAAGGCCACAGGTTCGGGAGACTTCTGAATGTGTCCAGCCCCACACAGGGTTCAGAGGGACCTGTGTGGCCAAGGTTCCAAGACCCAGTCTCGAAGAGCCCATGGGTGGCTCCAGAGGTGCCCAAGCTGGCTCCTCCTGTGCTGGGTGGGTCTGAGGACAGGGGCAAGATCTGCCAGAGCACAGGAAGACCCCAGCTTCAGGAAACCTCAGGCCATCAGCGAGGGAGGGCCTTGTCCTCAGAGTTGGAACCCTGCCACAACATAGCAAAGGCTGCTTCATGTCTTTGGGGAATAGGAGCCTGCTAAGCCCAGACTCAGAGGGGAGACAGAAAGACTTTGCCGAGGGCTAGCCAGATAGCTCAGCATATTAAAATACCTGCTTAGGCAGACACAGGTCCTGGGGTTCCATCCCAGGCATGTTGTGCCAGCCCCGCCCCCAGGACACGCTGAGATAGCAACTGATACTGGGCGTGGTGGTGTGCACCTGTAATCACAGCTCTTGGGAGGCTGAAAACAAGAGGATCATTACAAGTCCAATCTGTGTAGTGAGACCCTGTAGACCCTGTACCAAATACATTAGAAAAAAAAAAAAAAAAAAAAAAAGCAAGGCTTTGCCAGGTTAAATCAAATTAAACAGCTGCCAGCTCCTAGCACCAAGGCTGGAAGCAGGAGCTGCACCGACAGAGGCCCCGGATCCTTCTGGGATCATTTCCTGCAGCAGGGGTGCCCCTGCTGGCCCGGGAAGGAAAGACATGGGGCTGCGGCACCCAAGAGAATAGGCCTGTGTGCAGGGCGAACACTGACTGTCTTCTTTCTTCTCAGCTGCCTGATCACAGATACTCACTGGTACCAGGGAGAGACCTGTGAGTGGGGCGTGCAGAAGAGCCTGGTGTATGGGCTCACGGGCGCAGGTGCCACCGTGCTGCTCGTGGCCCTGGTTGTCCTGTTGGTGTTCACACTGCGTGCCAGGAGAGTGGTGAAAAGGTGAGTGCCCACACCTCCCCTCTGTCTGTCATTAACCTCTGCAGCCTGGAGATGGGTGGTAGGAAGCAGAAAGCAGGGATGTCACTTGTCCCTGCTCCTTGCTCATAACGGGGGTCTCTGGTGTTTCTGTCTATAGGCAAAAGTACAAAGTTTCTCAGTTGTACAAGTGGTATGAAGAGGGTAGTGGGCCTGCCCCCGGGACCTTCCAGAACACTGGCTTCGACATCTGTGAAGGTACTGGCAACCCCCACTAGACTGAAAGTGGCTTGGAGTATGGGGATGCACAGAAAAGGCACATGGAAGGATGCCAGGGCTTAACGGTGGGAAGAGAAGTGATAGTTCCCATCTTTAAGACATCTAGTGCCAACTGGGAAGCATGGTGGTGCACACCTGTAATCCCAGCACTATGGGAGGCTGAGGCAGGAAGGTCACAAGCACAAACCCAGCCTGGGCAACTATGAGACTTAGTAAGATCCTGTCTCCAAATAAAAAATGAAATGGGCTAGGGATGTAGCTCACCTCCTGGGATGTATCTTGGTTCATAAAGGATCCATAGTGGTCTACAGTCCAGGGTGGGGCCTCCTGGTTTAGGTGGCCTGCCGTATTTTAAGTTTCACTGGGTGGGATGTGAGGGAGAGGACCGCTGGCCTTCCTGACCATCTGTCTGGGTGGGGCTTCCTTCTCCTCCTCCAGAGGACCCGCAGCTGGACTCCATCTACAGTAACTTCCAGCCCTCCCTGTACAGCGTGGACTCCAGAACAAAGGTCAGAATGGCTAGAAGAATGGCATCCCCCGCCCCAAGCCCACATGTCCCTTCCCATGCCACAGCAGCTTCAGGAAAGCAAAGCTCACTGATGCTTTGTTTGATTCAGGCCATGACTCCTGGACTCTGCTGCTAGGAAATTAGCATAACTTGGGAGGAAGCATGACCAAGGTGGAATCTACCTTCCACAGGCCTCTGGGACTGCAGGCCCTGGGGTTGCTTTCTGAACTTTAAATATGTCCCTGATGGTTGGCTGGTTGATTGATTTAGTTAAATTAAATTAATTAATGTATTTATTTGTGGTACCGGGGATTGAGCTCAGGACCTTGCACTTGCCAGGCAAGTGCTTATTCTACTGAGCTATCTCCTGGGCCCCTTAATTTTAATTTTTAACTATGCATCTAAGTGAAAATAGTACCACAGTAAACACTTACCTCCTCCTGATGGTGATGCTTAGGGTGCCTATTTTCTTTCTTCACATTTTACTGAACCATTTGGAAGTCAGCTGAAAATATTACGAAGTCGCTCTCTAAACCCTTCTGCACATATTCCTAAATTCCATCACTACATGTAGTGAATTGCCAATAAGCCCACAACTTCATCCAGTATTCAACTTTTGTAACTGACCTAAGAAATCCCACCCCCACTAGCATGGCTTGACTCAGGCCCTTGCACTGAGCTACAGCCTCAGCTTTTTATTATTTTGAGATTGGTTCTCATTAATTCACTGAGTTGCTTGGGCCAAGCTCAAACCAGTGCTCCTCCTGCCTCAACCTCCCAGAGTGCAGAGGTCACAGGCATGCATCACACACCCAGCCTAAGGAACCTTTTGTAACTGTTTTTTCCATTTGTGGATACAACAATTTACTCGTTAACGTTTCTTATGTTTTCTTGGTCTTTCCATCTGGAATGATTCCTGTTTTTAAAAATATACTATATTTTTGGCTGGGTGTCATGGTTGTGATCCCAGAAGTGGGGAGACTGAAGTTCACCACAAGTTCAAGGCCAGCTTCAAATACATGGTGAGACTGTCTCCAAAAACAAAAGAAATTCAAAAAACTTTGGGTGGGGAGCCTTTTTGAGACAGGGTTTCATTATGCAGTTCAGGTCGGCTTTGAATGCACTTTGTAATCCAAGCTGTCCTCACATTTACAGCCATTCTCCCAGCCTCCTGCCTCAACACCCCAAGAGCTGGGATTACAGGCACGCACCACCATATCTGGCTTGGTATTTTTTAAAGAGTAGAGGATGGAACTGAAGGGTGTCCAGTACTCCAAGTTTGAATACTTTTTGGGATGTCCTTAGAAATATGCACAGAAGGACGTAGGGAGTGACTGTTGTAATATTTTTAGCTGACTTCCAAATGGTTCAGCAAAAATGGAACAGAAAGTTGTGCAGAAAGAAAATATGTATCTTAAACATCACTATCTGGAGGAAGTGTGTAAGTATTTACTATAGTATTATTTTTACTTAGATGTGTAGTTCAAAATTAAAATCAACCAACCAACTACTAAGGTATCAGATTCAGCTCAAACGCTTTTCACACATTGTAGGTAATGCTACTGCATCCTCAGGGATGTATAACATGACATGATGGCTCAGGCCCAGACTGGTCCCTGGGGTCAAGGGTGACCAACCTTGATGATCACATTGATATTTCAACTGGATGCAATTTGAGGACAGAAGAAATATCAAGTGTGCCAGGCTCCAGACACTGTACTCTAGTGAGATGTCCAGGCAGATGTGAAGCCTCAGGACAGAACACCAAAGCCACCCAAGGGGGAAGGAAAGTCGTACTCTCTGGCACCAGTCATACTTTCTGGTGGGGTTCTAGAACAAGCTCTAAGCAGAGCTCTCAGGCTCAAACCTCTTAAACCTCCCAACCAATTTCTCATGGGTTCAGCCCTCAACAGGTCCTTGGTCTCTTTTCAGATCCATATTCAAAGGCCCCAGGTGATAATGACAGAGATGTAAGGCAAACGCGGTTTGGCAGGCAGCTGGGGCAGAGAAGCGTCCCTCCAGCCACGCTTGCTGGAGCCTCGTCCCGCCGCGAGCATTCCGCAGGAATTCGATAAGAAGCAGCCACTGTACTAACTGAGGAAGAAGAGGACAAACCAATACCGCGGAAGCTCGCGTGGGGTCGCCATGTGGTCAAGCGAGGTCTTCCAACCTGCGCCAGAGGCTCCTGCTCCCGGGAGCTGCGTTCAGGACCAAGGACAGCGCCCGGCGCCTCGGGTGCCTGAGGACTGAGGCACGCAGCGCTTCTGAGAAGCATCTATTTAAGAACACACATTGAGACTGCGTGGTGGCACGCGTCTGCAATCCCAGCTCATAGGAGGCTGAAAAACAGGGGGATCACTGCGATTCCGATCTGTGTAGTGAGACCCTGAACTAAATACCTAAAAAAACAAAACAAAAAACCAGCCTTCATCTTTGCATTTTTCAGATTATGACTATCGTTAAAGTTCTTATTTTCGTGGGTTCCGATTTATCATTATTAAACATAATAATATCTATTTATAATAGCTAAAAATAAAAGCAATTTTGTTACTCTAGTCTTGGCTCGCTGACCTTTCTCCTGTGTGCGGCCACTGTACGGGGTCGGGTGTCTCGCCCGACGGCGCTGTCCTGTCCTCACTGCTGCGCTCGGGCCTAGAGACGCCGAGGGGGTCGCGGGGGCTGCATCCCGACCCTCTCAGCCAGCACCAGCTGCCCCCACCCAGGGTGTCAGGAAGCAGGGCCTCGGCGGCTCTCGCACGAAGCAGCGACTCACGAGGCACCGGGCTCTCCAGCGCTCCTTCCGGAAATGGGCTCATGTGTGCTTCTGTAGCACTCTAGAGACAGTCCTGGGTATCAATCCCGACTTTCTCATCAGTTCCCCAGCTTCAATTTGGGCGAAATCCAGTGAGCCTTTAAATGCTATCCGGCCTTTTCCCAAATGCGGACCAGATCCTTTCTAAGTTCCCCTTCATCGCTGTTGTTCTTCATATTTTGGAGATGGCTTATCGAGATCCGGGCCAGGCGGCTCAGGACACGTTTTCTGCAGCACTCGCCCACAGCCTTGCAGCGAGCTCAGAGACAGAGCCTGGGATCTGCTGCCCTCTCGTGGCCGTGTGGAGCATCGCAGGCGCCGACCTCTTCCAGCCATTCCTTCCTGGCCTCTCACAAGAAACGTTTCACCTACATTATTTGGTTCATCCCCACATTTACCATCAAAACCCCCAATTCCTAAAATTGGGCTGAATTCAGAGGACTTCAAGTCAAGGCTTGTCTCCTCTGGGCTGGGGCGCCCATGGCCATGGGAGGGGAGATTGTGTGGCGCTGCGGACCCATCAGCCATTTCCTGTTTCCTCCTGCATCTGCTGGCTGGACAGGCAGAAGGCAGCCAGAAGCAGAGGCTCCCAGGCCCAGCTCTTGTAAGCCACTTACCACTCCAAGTCCCCTGGAGTTCTACTGTCTCATCGGCAAAACCCGAGGGCCCACTCACCAAACCTGAGCCCTGTTCATCAGCCAGTGTGCAGCTGAGGGCAACTGAGGCAGAGAGGCATCCACAGCTTACCTGACCTCAGCTAGTGGGTGCGGCGCAGAGACAATTGACAACCAGGGCATCTGGGGGTCCAGCCCGTGCTCCTGACCATATGTCTTATATCCCCCTGCTGGGTCCTGCTCTGGATCAACTGGGTGAGTGCCTGGCACAAGGCCTGACATTTAAAAGTTCCAAAAAGAAAGAATAAGCAAAAGAAAGGAGCAGAGAAATGACAGAGATAAAGTGTGGGGAAAGGAGAGCAGGATGAGGAAGAACAGAGCAGAAAAAAGAAACATCTAGGCAGTCTGATTGAAAAACCAAAGTGGGGCTGGGGAGATAACTTGACGGTCTAAGCACCTGCCTGGCAAGCTCAAGGACCCAGGTTCGATCCCACAGCAATTCTCCTTTGTTAATACTGAAGGTCCCCCACAGACCAGGTGCCCTGCCAAGGTAGCTCTCCCTCAGCTGTTCCAGCCCACGACTCCCCCAACACGTTCATACCTGAAAGCCCCATGCTTTGCCTTGTCCACAGCTATCTTGGTCTGCTAGACAGCCAGCCTGCTTGTTGTCCCCAATAAATCTTCTATCATGTCAGAATGCCTAGTCTGGTCCATTGTATGGTTGTACCTAAGTCCCAGAAGCTCTGTGCTGGTCACCAAAACAAGGCATGGTGGCGCATCCCTGTAATCCCAGCACTGGGGAGGCTGAGATAGGAGGATTACTACAAGTCTGAGCTGTGTAGCAGGACCCTGTACCAAAGGAAGGAAGGAAGGAAGCAAGGAAGGAAGGAAGGAAGGAAGGAAGGAAGGAAGGAAGAAAGAAAGAAAGAAATTTAAATTTTTAAAATGTATTATAGCAAAAGACACGCTGTCACAACTCACTCTCAGAATCTTCCCCTCACCCCAAACACTTATCCCACCATACTTGCTTCTTTCTTTCTTTTCTTCCTTTCTTTCTTCCTCCC